TTCTAACAGGCCGGCCGGAACTGCTGTTGGATTTTGCCATTTTCCTACCCGTAAGATGCCCAAATAATTTTTTGGGCTCAGAGAGGGACCCTCCGCCCAAATCCAATCCGGAAAAAATCAAGCCGTAAGACTCAGCCTCACTAGCAGAAATTTGTACGAAAATTCTCTGTCGTATCTTGTAGGATCTAAAGAATAGTCGGATAAAATGTACACGAGTTCTGGAAGCACGTGATGACAGTGAGACTGTTCACTTCTTGAATTGAATGTTGTTTTTTCAAGCACACTATACCCGAAGGGGGGTAAGCTGTTGACTGGCGCCCATAGTAGGTGGGACGCAAAGAAAATGCTCACGTGATACGCGGCATGCTTGATATTCGGACTATAATCTCTCCTCGCACACAATGAGCGCCTGTAGCACCGTTTTTTCTGTGTTTGCCTCTCTCGGGAGAACTGTTGACGACTGACTGGCTTATCCTCGAGAATGTTCGGGATGCGGCAATCAACATGTACGTCGCCACACAACACACGTCGCCTATGAAACAGCGTTGGTTGCACTTGAAGGTGTTGAGCCAAAGAGAGTGCCAATGTTAACCCGCTCGTGCCGTCATCCAAAGCGTTGTGTTTTGTTGCTTGAGCATGTGGTGAGCCCACAGTCAGTTCCAATGTTCCCCCACTCGCGACGTCATCCAAAGCGTTGTGTTATTTTGCTTGAGCATGTGGTGAGCCGACAGTCAGTTCCAATGTTCCCCCGCTCGTAACGTCATCCAAAGCGTTGTGTTATGTTGCTTGAGCATGTGGTGAGCCGACAGTCAGTTCCAATGTTCCCCCGCTCGTGACGTCATCCAAAGCGCTGTGTTGTTGTTGTGTTGTTGTGTTGTGCTGCTTTTGCAGGTGGTGAGCCAGTGGGAGTGCCCCGGTTGCACGTCCATTAACTCGGACGCGGTCAACGACTGCGTGGTCTGCGGGACCTACTGCAGCGGCAAGCGCAACTCCAAGCGACTCTGAGCTGGAGTATGTACGCGGGCAGCATCGTTATGACGGTGGTCAGAATTATTGTCGAATCAGTTTCCTCTGAGGATGTAGCTAAGCCATGAGTTTATTCGGGGGAGGGGGGGGGGGGAAGGGGTGCACAGATCAGCCTTTTTCGTCAAGCCAACTCAGCGTGGTGTATGTAGTTGGTGAGGCTAGTAATAATAGCGTAGGGAGGTATCCGCGGTATTGGGCCTCGACACGACTTTGAGATAGCGTAGGGAAGATTAGTTAGGCAGGCGATAGGACGCGTTTGAGACGGGTGCCTACGAGAAGAACGACTTCGTAAGGATGAAGGCTGCACGCACGTGCGGGGTGTGTCGGCTGTCCGCTCGTGGTGGGAGATGGTTGGTTATCCCTGTAGCGGAGAGACGCCGATGCACCTAGGAGCGGTAAGAAGTAACGTTAGTATGTGTGCGCTCTGCAAAGTATAATAGCCGTGGTGGTATCTAACATGTGAACACTAACATGTTTTTTTTTTCTTCTTCAATTTTTTGCTGGCATGGGCGGTCACGGTTGTTCTGTTGCTGTCAGTCGCCCCGTAAAAGCTCGCTCGAGAGAGCAAGTATTTACCGAAGTGTTTTCGGTCGAACCAGGCCGGCCAGTCATGTTGTTTGTTCAGCCGTAACATCTTGACGATTAGCGCAACAGCCTAGATAGGTGAGAGTTAGAGCGATGTTTGTGTTGACCAGGCGTAGGTGGGTCTCGTCCTACATAGTCTGGCGAGTATTTTTGCGCGAGACATTAATGCGGCGATATCGTGTTTGACGTAACGTTTTCTGTTGTTCGTTGTAGGAGTCGTGCGGTGGGTGCCTTCTCTGCTCGCAGCCGCCTCTACTCGAACACCCCCCGTAGACCAGGGAAGACTTTTTTGAGCCACCTTTGGCACGAAGTAGAACGGGACGATAAGCCATCGGTGATAGGTCCTGTGGGAACAATGTTCCGTCCTCTCGAGGTCGCGTGGTGAATGGTCCAACCGCTAAGGCATGCAAAACATGAAGAGTACCCCCCCCCCCCCCNCCCCCCGTGATGTTTCGATGACACCACCGGTGGCGGTAGAGCAGCAGTTCCTTCCGTGGCTGTGGAAAACAATCGACGGACGTCCGATGTTGGTCATGGCCATCCACGGTGCTTTTGGCTAGAATAGCGTCGGCATGTGTTGGCGGCGTTGCCGTAACCACGTGGAGACGGTGGCGTGGCATCTTCGGTGCCGTTGCGGCACGCAAAAGTACTCCGTTTGGGTGGATGCAAGTTTTCTCTTTGGGGGGCTAGGTCGACCAAGAAAGCTTAGGGTTAGAACGGACTTGGACCCTTGAATTGGAGGGCGTTAGCGGGAGGTAACCGTCCAGAAGCGATTTTGGGCTTAACAGAGCTTCCGGGTGCTGGTCGTGGTGAGAACTACGATTATGGTAGCCGGCGAGTTGGGCGCTGATACATTGTGGAAAGCGAGCACATGCTGCAACATGAGCTTGTTTCTTTCTCGCGCACATGATGAAATGCTCATGTTCGGGGAAGTGCTTCTTTTTTGGGGGCTTTGGCCGTGTGTTTACTCACGCTTCACAGGCACAAGCATCATTTGTTTTTGCTGAGTTGCCTTGACCTGAGTGCATTGTCAACCGCACAAGTGTGCGGCCACCGTGCAAGGAAGTGCCAGGGTTACGGCAAGTCGAGGGTACTGCAGATAGGGCGGGCATCGTGCGGCAGCGTTTGGGCGGATTGGTTCATATGTCTCCCTCCGCACGAGGGGCCCCCGCGGATATTTTCTCCAGCAGCGTACCCCCCGAGACGCTCGTGTGCTCGAAGAAAAGCGTTGTCCACTAGGACTTTTCGCACTCATGAGAATTTACAATTCTGATGCAGGTGTCTGCCATCGTCGCCGAAAGGTGTAGCTAGCCCCCGCCCTTGTTTTCGAGGAGGAATTAATCTTGTCCAAGTTATGCGTTGTGATTTTTCTAGGGGTTTTTTGTGGTCCTCGTCTTTTGTGTCTTCGTCGAAAGCACGCCAGCTGCACGGTATTGACGACGACGTAAGTAGCGTGTGTGGCGTTGGTTTTGTGCGGAACGAGAGGACGCTTGGCGTTGTGGGCACCGGTAGGTTTATGGGGGGGG